TCGGATTCAGGCGGTGGAGGTGGTGATGGGTCTCTGCTGCTTCCTCCTGCTCCCCCTGTTGGCGGCTCGTCGTTGTCATCGTCATCGTTGTGACGATCGATTTCCGGGAATTCGCCAATGTTGCCTTGCTCTAGGATGGCTGCTGGTGCTCCATCTTTGGGCGTGGCGTATCTATGTCTGTCATTGGCGTAGACGCGGTTCGCGTTCGTCTGCTCGTTTGCACGGTACTGGGCGATGTTGAGCCGCTCGTAGAAGATGACGTCGCGCACGTTTGTAACTATCTAACGAAGCAGATCCAGGATTATCCATGCCTTGTACTCGTAGCGGATGTCGAGGTGGATGCCCCAGCACGCGCGGCTTGCGAATTTGCCAATGGTTGATGTAGGGGGCCGATACTCCACCATGCACCCCCACATGCGGAGCATGGATGTATCGCCCTTTTTTCCTGTCCATTTTACGTGCAGCGACAGATTGCCCGTGATTGCCGTGGTCGAGAGGAGATTGTGCACCCGCAAGGCGTGGTGCATCGTGTATGGCCAGTAAGTTGGCGGAAGCTTTGACTGCTTCAGGAGCGCGCACACCTTCGTCATGAGGGTGCGATTGGTGCGCTCAGATACTCCTTGCTGGGGGTGCGTGTAGGGGAGAGAGATATGGTTCAAATTCCTTTTTGCGCCAGGTAGTCTTGCAGCTCCTTGCTGCGGAATTCCGTCACTCCGTTAGTTTGCCAGATTTTCATATTTCCGCCAGATTGACGTTGCGCATGTGCTAGCCATAGGCTGAATAATTCATACGCCCTGCTGCGGAATCGCACGTTCACGACCCACTTGTAGCGCGTTCCCGCATCAACGAAGGTAAGTGTATATCCGTCGTCATTAATGTCGCAGTGGCCGACGACGAGAAAGTCGCTGTACACCTTGTGCAGTTTCGGTTTGCAGCAGCGGGAATGGCTGATGGCTCAGGGTAGCTTCGGGGTAGACGGTGCAGTTATGCGGCTGTGGTGTGATTCTGACTTCGGAACCGTCAGGGCACAGAAGCGCGCCAGACACAAACACTTCTGCCTCGATGCAGTTGTTCAGCGTTGTGCGTGAAGGGTGACCGAGGCGCTGATGCCACAAGTCATCTATTGCGCGAAGCCCGGGGGTGCGCACGTAGCGCGCACTCACCGCTTCGGGATCTTCTTCAGGAGTTGGAGTGGCTTCTGCTGGCGCTCCTTCTTCATTCGCTGCCGTCAACATCAGCGCAAGAAATTCCCTGCCGGGAAATGCGGAGAGGGGAATGTTGGTCCTTGGGATCATTCCGGGGACGAGAGTGGGCTCGCGTGGCTCGGGATCAGGTCCGTAGATTATGTGTCGTGGGTTTGAGGGCTCATTGCCTTAGTCGATGGTTTTCCGAGGGTCGCGATGCGGTGGGGTATCAGTAGGGGGGGCGTAGGTGTAGGGAGGCGCAGAGGGCAGCCGAGAGGAACAATGGGACGTTCGGTTTCTTCAGTTCCTTCCATTCCCCCCCTTTGTTCTTCTCGTACGGCACCCCAGCCTTCATAAGAGGTGCCCCATCCGCCGTTGGTGCCCCAGCCGTCGTTGCTGCCCCACCCCCCTTAATTGGAGGCGCTTTCTTCTTCTGCGCCCCATTTGCTGCATGCGTAAGTCCCGCGCGCCTCAGCGATGCTCTTTTGGCGAAGCTCTTCCGCTTCGCGTTGCGCCAATCCCTCTTCTTGCATGATTGTCAGCTTCTTGTTAGGGTCGTGCCAGTGGAGGTAGATCTTTATGAACTCCTCCTTCGTATAGGGGTGCGCCTCTCCGTGCTCATCGTAGGTTCCACGGCGGCATCCACGCAAAATCCCCTCGAGTCGCTCTTCAGCCGTACTAGGAAGGGGATCTTCTAGCATGCCGAAGACGTTGCTCGTCGCAATTTCTAGCTCCAGCGCTGACATTCCTTCGTTCGGCGGTAAGTGTCGTTCTTGTGAGGATCGAGGAACTAGTTCAGAAATGAATTGATTGCTACAACACGAGGCTATATGTAGTCTCGACACAAGGCAAGGTAACCAGGTGTTATGGGGGGGGGTCTTCTCATAGGAAAAAGCTACATAATACTCGGATGGATATATATGGCATATTTTGGTGTAAGTGTGAGTGTGTGTGTTTTTTTTTTTTTTTTTTGGTTAAGACAACTTGGATGTTTCCACGGTCGTTTTAACATCACAGATTGAGGCGCGAATGCGATTTTTGGTGAAACTTCATCACCCCCTCGAAAATGCCATGTGGCACCTCTCTGGCCATTTGGAATGGAAGATTCTCCAGCGTGGCGATAACGAAATAGTGGGAGGGGGAAAATCTCGGCAGATTACCGTGAAATTTCATCGAGGGAGAGATTCTCACGATATCCTTTCGTACTTGCACCTACACGTTAGCAGCTAACGGATCTATAAGAAAAGGGGGGTGTTATAAAAAATCACCCCAAAAGGTGGGTATAAGAGAAACGAGGTCACTTATAATACCCACCCCGCACAAGCTACCCGGGGGGTCTTCAATTTCGGCGGGTGTTTTGTCCAGGTGAATACGGTATAATAAATACAGTTAAGAGCCTAACTTTGGAAATCAAGCAAAAACATGCAAAATAAAATAAACCTAAGCTAGATAAAGCATGATAAAGTAAAGGCAAGCAAGTAAAGCCTACCAAAGCTGTCGTACTCTCACAGTTCTGCCTCGGCAATGGCGGCGAGTCCGCATGTCAAACATTATATATGTTTGGTTTGTTAGGCTACAGTGGGTTAGCCTGTATGGGGTACACAATTCTAGGGTTAGCTATTTGTACTGATTTCTCTGTTAGTTCAACCATTCCAGTCTCGTAATCTTGACATGGTTTCAGAGCAGGTCCTTCCCTAGGACCGTTTTTAAGGGCCCACCTAACTACCTACATACCTATCAAGCGCCCCTAGTGCGCCTCCTATTGCGCCCCTAGTGCGCCTCCTATTGCGCCCCTAGTGCGCCTCCTATTGCGCCCCTAGTGCGCTATCCCTTTTTTTTTACCGCGCGCGATCTGCTAGCCGCCCGCGCGCGGCCGTTTTTTTCGCGCGCGCCTAGCTAGCCGCCGGCGCGCGCGGCTCTTTTTTTTTCTTCGAGCGCGGCCCGTCGCGCTGCTCCGTGCTGCGCTCGACCCCCCCGCGCCTTCGTCGCCGCGGTCGGGCCTTCAGCAACAGCCGCGGCAGAGACTGCAGTCGCGGCCGTCGCAACTGCTGCAGCAGCCGCCGCCGCCTCTCCTGCCGCGGCCGCCGCTGCATCTACAGCAGCTGCAGCCGCCACATCTACTGCAACAGCCGCCGCTGCAGCTACAGCAGCAGCAGCCGCCGCATCTTCTGCAGCAGCCGCCGCTGCATCCACAGCAGCAGCAGCCGCCGCTGCATCTCCAGCAGCAGCAGCCGCCGCGCCTTCTGCAGCAGCCGCCGCTGCATCTACAGCGGCAGCAGCTGCCGCATCATCTACAGCAGCGGCCGCCGCCGCATCTACGGCAGCAGCAGCCGCCGCAATCTACAGCAGCGGCCGCCGCAGCTACAGCAGAATCAGCCGCCGCTGCCTCTGCAGCAGCAGCCGCCGCCGACCCAGCAGCAGCAGCCGTAGCCGAACCTGCAGCATCTGCTGCCGCTGTCTCGACTGCCCCGGCCTTGCCTTGCCCTGCTGCTACTGTCACTGCCACGTTTATTACTTACTCTTCCTCCTCCTGCTACCATGGCTACTGCTCCTGTTCTAGCCTTCGACGCTGAGGGCCGCCCAGTGAAATTTGACACCTGGCTCGATGATCTGCACCTTTTCCTACAGCTCACTGCCAAGGAAGACATTTCACTGTACGACCACGCCCTAGGCCATGCTACTGCCCCTGACTCCTCTGCTGCTAGCACACTGCGCTCCCAGTGGCAGACCCGCGACGCACACGCTCGCTTTGCTATCCGCAACTCCCTGCCGCTAGATGAGCGCGAGCACTTCGGCCAGTGCAAGACTGCTAAGGAACTGTACACAGCCGTAGTTGCTCGCTACTCCTCGCCTGCGTCTGCCACCCTAGGCCGCCTCTCCCTGCCCTACCTGTTCCCCGACCTGGCCTCCTTTCACACTGTCGCTGATCTCATCACCCACCTCAAGACTAGTGAGGCCCGTTTTCGCGCTGCCATGCCTGCCGAGTTCCTTGCTAGCAACCCCCCCCCGCTCTGGCTCACCCTCTACCACATTGTCACCCGCCTCCCTGACTCTCTGCGCACAGTCAGGGACTCCTTTCTAGCTCGCTCCCCTACTGAGCTCACCATTGCCCTCCTCGAGAAGGACCTACTTGCAGCTGAGGCGAGCATCGTCGCCGTAGGTGCCTCTCGTGGCGAGCCCCGCACCCCCTTCTTCGAGGGGTGTTCCCCTTCCCCCCTTCTCCCCTCTGTCGCCACTGCTGCTGCTGTCGACCTCCTTGGTGCTGAGAAGGTCGGGGCTGCGTCTGCTTCGAGCGGGCGCCGCAAGAGCAGGGGGGGCAAGGGTGGGGGTGGAGGCGGGGGAGGCGGGGGTGGAGACAGTGGAGGTGGCGGTGGGTCTGGAGAGGCTAGTGGCGGCAGTGGGGGTGGTGACAGCGGCGGCGGGGGTGGTGGCAGAGGCGGAGGTGGCAGCGGCGGCGGTGGCGGTCGTGGCCGTGGCAGGGGTGGAGGTGGCCGAGGCGGTGGCGGTGGCGGTGGCGGTGGCGGTGGTGGCCGTGGAGACGCTGGAGGTGGCCAGAGTCAGCAGCACGCCCCGACCCTCCAGGCCGCCCGTGAGTGGTACGCGCAGCGTGGGTACACTTGCACGTACGTCATCCGCACTGGTGACCGCACTGGCCAGCCATGTGGGAGGTCGCACCCCACGCAGCGCTGCTTCCAGCGCCTGACTGACGCGTGGCGCATCCAGTTTCCTGGGTCTACTGAGCTCCCCCGCTGGCCTGAGCTGGAAAAGAAGGGTGTTGATATCTGGGCTTTAGACTTTGATGCTATTCTCACTGCTATGTATGCGATGTCTATTAGTGGAGAGGGTGCCCAGTACTTGCGTGTTCCGCCCGACCCGGGCATTCAGGCCAGCCCAGCTGCTGCTCTAGGTGCTAGTGTGTCTGCTCCCACAGGTCCTGCTGCAGCAGCTGCCCTAGGTGCTAGTGCGTCTGTGCCCCCTGGTACTGAGTCGACTGCAGCACTCCACACCTTCACACTGGACTCAGGTGCTTCTCGCTCTTTCTTTCGTGACCGCACTGTCCTTGAGCCACTAGCTCGGCCGGTTGCTGTCTCTCTTGCTGACCCCTCTGGGGGTCCGGTCATTGCGACCTCCTCCACTACACTTCCGTGTCCAGCGGTTCCGTCCGGCACGCTCTCAGGTCTCTACCTCCCCTCGTTCTCTACGAACTTGGTGGCAGGTTGTGCGCTGCAGGACGGGGGTGTTCACCAGTTCACCCCTGCCTACGAGCGTGTGACACACTGCACGTGTGCTCGGACGGGCCGCCACCTGGCTACTTTCACTCGAGAGCCGGGGTCGGACCTGTACACACTGACCACTGAGTCCCCTCAGGTAGCTGCGTCTACGTCTGCGTCAGGTCAGCTATCCGCCCCCTGCTCGTGTCGCTCTCTGGCGCATGAGACTGTCCTCTGGCACCACCGCCTTGGTCACCCGTCTGTGCAGCGCCTTCGGGCCATGCACAAACGGGACCTTGTTGCTGGTCTTCCCAGGGTGCTCCCTCCCCTTCCCGACTCCCCTGCTCCTGACTGCATTCCCTGTGTCGAGGGGCGGCAGCGCGCCGCTCCTCACTCCTCCTCCTTTCCCCCGACGACTGCTCCCTTGCAGACGCTCCACATGGACGTGTGGGGCCCAGCCCGCGTCCGTGGTCAGGGTCAGGAGAGGTACTTCCTGATAGTTGTTGACGACTACTCGCGCTACACCACAGTCTTCCCCTTGCGCGCCAAGGGTGACGTCCCTGGTGTTTTGATCCCCTGGATCAGTCGAGCCCGTCTCCAGCTAGGCAAGCGCTTTCACTCGGACTTTCCTGTCCTGCGCTTGCACTCTGACAGAGGTGGTGAGTTCGCCTCCGACCTCTTGGCAGCCTACTGTGCTGAGCACGGTATTGAGCAGTCGTTCACGCTTCCGGCCTCTCCGCAGCAGAATGGGGTCGCTGAGCGCCGCATTGGCCTAGTCATGGAGGTCGCTCGTACCTCCCTGACCCATGCGGCTGCTCCCCACTTTCTGTGGCCGTTTGCGGTCCGATACGCTGCGCATCAGCTCAACCTCTGGCCCCGTGTCTCCTTGCCGGAGACTTCCCCGACTCTGCGGTGGACGGGAGAGGTTGGCGATGCGTCGCGTTTCCGGATCTGGGGATCTCGAGCTTTTGTCCGCGACACGTCCGCGGACAAGCTCTCGCGTCGCGCCGTTCCCTGTGTCTTTCTTGGCTTTGTGCCTGACGCGCCTGGATGGCAGTTTTACCACGTCACCTCGCGCCGGGTTCTGGCCTCTCAGGACGTCACTTTTGACGAGTCCGTCCCCTTCTACCGCCTCTTCCCCTACCGCACTGCCCCGCTCCCCCCCCCGCCTCTCTTCCTCGCTCCAGGTGCTGAGGTACCAGACCCCCTCCCCCCTCAGGGTGCCGCTCCCTCAGGTGTGTCCCAGGTAGACCCGGGTGAGCCTGTCGAGGTAGCTGTTGACTCGCGTCCTGCGTCTGGGGGTGCTGAGCCTGGGGGTGCTGAGTCTGGGGGTGCTGAGTCTGGGGGTGCAGAGCCTGGACGTGCGGAGCCTGGGGGTGCTGAGCCTGGAGGTGCGGAGCCTGGAGGTGCGGAGCCTGGTGGTGCTGAGTCTGGGGCTGCTGAGTCTGGGGGTGCTGAGTCTTCGGGTGCTGAGCCTGAGCGTACTACACCTGGAGGAGCCCTCTCCTCCCAGCAGCTGCAGGAGAGGTACCTCGAGTACTGCCGCCTCCGGAGAGGTGCTTCTGGAGCTCGTCCCAGTACTTCCCCTCCTACCCAGGAGCTCCCCCCCATTCAGGTGATCCGAGAGTGGTACACACGGCGCTGCAGTCTTCGGAGTGGTGCTCCTGGTGCAGCGGACCCGAGCGGTGGCGCTGTTGCTGGTGCTGAGGACCCGGACGCTGGAGCTGCTGCTGGTGCTGAGGACCCGGGCGTTGGAGCTGCTGTTGGTGCTGAGGACCCGACCGGCGGCGCTACTGCTGGTGCTGAGGACCTGACCGGTGGCTCTGCTGCTGGTACTGAGGACCCGGGCGTTGGAGCTGCTGCTGGTGTTGAGGACCCGGGTGTTGGAGCTGCTGCTGGTGCTGAGGACTCGGGCGTTGGGGCTGCCGCTGGTGTCCCTGCTGGTTCTGGAGACGCTGTGCGGCCGCGACCGTACTTCGTACCACTCCTTCAGCAGGTTCTTGGTCAGGCTCCTCCTCCTAGTCCTCCTCCCACCGTCGAGTGTCCTCTGCCTGTCCCACCGCAGTCACAGTTACCGCCTGCCTCGCCTCTCCCTGCTCCCTCTCCTTACACTGGTCCCACAGGAGGTCTTACAGAGCGTCGTGAGCCTGAGTCTCGTCCTGCGTCGCCTGTTCGTACTACTCGCACTGGTCGTCGTATCCCACGTGAGCGTCCCCCTCCTGTCCCTGGCACTCACTACATGACCTTGCGTCCCTCCACTGCTCCGCAGCGTGTCCCGCTGCCGTCTCCTCCTGCGTCATCTCTTCCTACTCTTCCTGACCCGGAGTCTGACTCCCGTCGTGCGGCCAGTCCCACTGTTACGCGTCTCCTCGCTACAGTTGTCACTGACCCGACCTTTGAGTCCTCTGCTGCGTCTGCTCTGGTCGCTGAGCTGGTTGACTTTGCTGCTCGCTGTCGCTTAGACTACGCTGCCAGCCTTGTCGCTGAGTCTGAGTCTGAGTCTGCCTGTCCTCCGTCCGTCGGGGGTGAGTGTGCTCTTGGCACGGACGTCCTTGAGGACAGACAGGAGGAGTTCCAGTGCTTTGCTGCTGCTTTGCCCCATCTCGTGTCCATGCTTGTTGCCCCTGAGGGAGACCCGGATGCACCAGACATCCCGACCCCGCGCTCTTACGCTGAGGCGATGGCGGGTCCCTACTCCTCTCAGTGGCAGACAGCCATGGACGCAGAGATGGCTTCCTGGAAGTCCACAGGCACCTACGTCGACGACGTTCCCCCTCCTGGGGCGAACATCGTCAGTGGCATGTGGATTTTCAGGGTGAAGCGGCCGCCGGGTTCTCCTCCTGTCTTCAAGGCACGCTACGTGGCTCGAGGCTTCAGTCAGCGAGAGGGAGTCGACTTCTTCCAGACCTTCTCCCCCACCCCGAAGATGACCACTCTTCGGGTGCTGCTGCACATAGCCGCTCACCGCGACTACGAGCTTCACTCACTTGACTTCAGCACTGCTTTCTTGCAGGGCAGCCTGCACGAGGAGATCTGGTTGCGCCGCCCTCCTGGCTTCACTGGGTCGGTTCCTCCTGGCACCCAGTGGAGGCTTCAGCGGCCGGTCTACGGTCTCCGCCAGGCGCCACGTGAGTGGCACGACACACTGAGGACGACGCTTGCGGCTCTTGGGTTCGCTCCCTCTACTGCTGACCCGTCGCTGTTTCTACGCACCGACACCTCGCTGCCGCCGTTCTACATCCTCGTGTACGTTGACGACTTGGTCTTTGCCACAGCTGACACAGCGGCACTCGCCCACGTGAAGTCGGAGCTGCAGAGGAGACACACGTGCACAGACCTGGGTGAGCTGACAAGCTATCTTGGCTTGCGGATCACCCGGGACAGAGCACGGCGCACCATCACCTTGACTCAGTCACACATGGTGCAGCAGGTTCTCCAGCGCTTCCGCTTCACGTACTCCTCGCCTCAGTCCACTCCTCTGCCTACCGGTCACTCGCTCTCAGCTCTGCCTTCGGATGAGTCCGTAGAGCCGAGTGGCCCGTATCCAGAGCTTGTGGGCTGCCTCATGTACCTGATGACCTGCACTCGACCTGACCTTGCATACCCCCTTAGCATCTTAGCACGCTATGTCGCTCCTGGCCGTCACAGGAAGGAGCACATGGATGCTGCTAAGAGGGTGTTGCGCTACTTGTGCAGTACGTCGGGCATGGGGCTTGTGCTTGGAGGGCGGGACCGGGTTGTTCTCACAGGGCACTCAGATGCTTCTTGGGCAGACGACCAGGCTACTCAGCGGTCGTCACAGGGTTACACCTTCAGCCTTGGCTCTGGCTCAGTTTCTTGGCGTTCTACTCGTTCGTCTTCTGTTCTCAGCTCCAGTTGTGAGGCTGAGATCTACGCCACAGCCATGGCTGCTCAGGAGCTGCGCTGGCTGACCTACCTACTGACCGACCTCGGAGAGCGGCCTCGTTCTCCTCCAGTGCTGTACGTCGACAACAAGGCTGCCATTGCCTTGTGTGAGGAGCACAGACTAGAGCACAGAACGAAGCACATTGCTCTGCGGTACTTCCTTGCTCGAGAGCTGCAGCAGCGCGGTCAGCTTCGTCTGCGTTACGTGGCCACTGAGGCCAACACTGCTGATGTGTTCACCAAGGCACTCCAGCCTTGTGACCATCAGCGCTTCTGTACTCTGTTAGGTCTTGTGCCTACTGGCCCTCACTTGCTCACTTCTTGACTTTGCCTGTACTGTGATCACTATATATTTATATACCTGCATGTTTACTCTTGCTAGGTTGTGATCATTGTACGTCTTGCTCTATTATAAACCTGCATGTGAACTGGTCTTGTGACCGCTTGTTTGTGCTCGGAATTTGTGTGGAATCCTCGAGATCCACCCTGAGCTTGTTTGCCTTACTTTGCCTTGACTGGTCTTGTGACCCCTAGGTCTCCCCCACTTTGCCTATGGGGGTGTGTCAAACATTATATATGTTTGGTTTGTTAGGCTACAGTGGGTTAGCCTGTATGGGGTACACAATTCTAGGGTTAGCTATTTGTACTGATTTCTCTGTTAGTTCAACCATTCCAGTCTCGTAATCTTGACACCGCAGCCAGCGATTGCGTTTGTCGATACAGTCGGTGTGTGGCAGTCTCTGCAAATGCCATCGGTGCCGGGATCGTGTAGCGCAACTTCACGCTTGTGTGGGTGATGCACCACCCAGAGCCTTTCGTCCGGATGCTTCCATTTGGAGCGGTGGTTGTGCTCGAAGCGGAGCGGGATGAGATCGATTGACTCATCCTTGTCAGCACTGCAGTTAGGAATGTCGAAGTGGAGCACGTACACGCCGTTCTCAGTTCGCGCTCGTCCGATCTGCTTGCGCGGTTTGTTGGATGCAGTGTAGTGCAGGAGGATGTCGCGGGACTTGGGATCAGTATTGAGTTCGACACCGCAATCCGCAAGTTATGCCGCCGATAGGAGATTGAATCTCAGATTCTGCAGATCATTCAATGTGGTGTGCGCACTCGCGTGCATATGATTGTTGTTCGCCACGGTCATGTATGTAACTGTGGGGGCTGCAACATCGTTGGATATGAAACGCTCAGAGCCAACCATTTGCTGCCCACAACAGCTATTCAGGTACCACGTGTTGTAGCGCATGATGTCGTCGCGTGTAATCAGCGCTAGTCACGGCGGATGTGTGGAGTATCGAATTTCAGAAATTGCTCGCGTGATATCTAGTCAACGGGTGCCGCCCATGAATCAGGACGTGCTGGAGATTCCAAACCTGGTCCTCGTCGTCAATGAAGTCGTGCCGGGGGGTAAACGGGTTGTTGACTGTGAACGGCCCGATAGGGTGGAGTGCAGGTTTTGGTGATGGCGTCCGCACGCGACAACGGCAACTTTTGCGCGTATGAGTTATCGTGTTATCGCCGATGACGTTGCGTACGGGGTCGGGTTGCGATGGCTACTATTGCTGGTGCTGAACCTGTGTGTTCAGGTTGCGCGGTGGTGGTTGATACCCATCGGCTTGACGCGTGTCCTGCCTTGCGTCTTGTCGGCCAGCCCAAGTGCTCGGATTGGACTTGCGAGAGGCGGAGCAGAATTTGCATCGCTCGGCCAAGTGCCCGAAGTTTCTGCAGATTTTGTAATAGAGGCGCCGCGGTCGTCGTTCTTCCTTGTTGTCGGCATAGAACGCGATTCGTTCCCGGCCTCGTCACGGCGCTGGTCGCTGCTGATCCATATCCCTTTGTTCGACGAGAAGGGCGGCGCATAGGGCGGCTTCCGAGATAGCCCCCTATTGCCGGATTAGCGCCTTGCAAGGTCGCCATTCTGGGCCAAGCCCTGCGAGCACGATATTCACGAAAATCTCCTCTGAAATCGAGCTCCCAAGTTTCTCGATTTGATCGTGCAAGCTCCGACAATGATTGATGTAGCTGCTGGCCTTCAACCTTGGTGCCATTTTTGTCTCCAGTAGCTGCTGGAGCAGGTGGCTTGAGGACATAGAGTCCTAAGGTTGATACACCCAATTGAGGTGTCGCCAGGCTTGAGGGGCTGGAGCAGGTGATGTCTTGTAGAAGCGAATTCCTAGCTGCTCCGCCGGCGACATGTTGCGGAGAAGCACGTCGTACGCCATGAGCAATTTTGCTGTAATACTGCGCTCTGGCGTTGTCCATGTCGGCCGTGACTCCCGTCGAAGTAATGAAGTATTTGCACGTTCTGCAACAGCAGTTCCAGCTCAAAGCTCTATGTATAAAAATCTTTGCCGTCGAAGCAGGCACGTCTTTATCTTTTATATGCTCTAAAACCTTGATTGAGGTGAGAGCAATGCTTCCTTGCTGCGACGGGGAGTCTTGGATGTTGCACCATTTGTTTCGCGGGAGAAGGTGTGCGGGGCGATGTCACAGCCATTCGAAGCCGGTTGAGAGGGTTGGGAAGATGTTCCCGCGTCGCCATTCCGTAATGTCTGGATGCCTTGCTCCAGAGTTGTGAGTCGCTGAAGCAGTCGTTCGAGTGTGACGGTACTTATCATAGTCGTCGCCTTGTTTGTCACAGCCGGGTTGGGTTGCACTTCAGCGGTCAGATTTGTTTGACCACCAGATCCTCCGGCCATCCTTACGCGCGAACGTGTGCCGGGCTCCACCTTAATTCGCCGAAGATTTCGGGGGTGGAGTGCGAAGGATTTCTGAGTCCCTAGGATCACCTCACGAAGGTTCGCGGATAGTGTGTTGCAGCGGAAGATTGACCTCAGGTCAGAGTGTATTTAAAATGTCTGAAATGATAAAACATGCAAGTACATAGGTCTATACAAGAGTATAGAGGAATACGAAAGGTCCTGAACTAGCCATGTACTCTAAGAGGTACATTCCCTAATTCGAATTTAAACTCAACCGTGCGACGCAGGAAAGTTACGAAACTGTTCCCGCCAAAATCCTCGCTCCTGCAGCTGCCTGATGCTCTCTGCTGCAACAGTCCACATGCTGCCTAACTGTTTGCGACTCTTCTGTTATCTCGACCTTTCGCCTTCGTACTCCTTTCTGCATGCTTCGTTCTTGCTACTTGCAAGAATGAACGGTAGTTTTCTCATTTTACTATTCGTAACACATGGCATGTGGATGACACATCCTCACTATTGTTTGAAAATCAACAGCCGAAGAGGGCGGAGGGGGCCCTGCAGGAGCTCACAATGATATCAAAATTATGAGCGAATGAGTTGAAGACACCCGCGTTATCGTTGGGGAGTAGCCCTTGGGGCCAGCCTTCGGTAAGAACTAAGTATATATGGGTGAGATAGGTGAAAGCCAAACATCTCATAAAGGGTCTCACCGAATTGGGACGCGAACTGGTCGTGAGAAAAGGATCTCAAAAGAACAGCATGGGAATTGGTTAGGTGTCACTTGAGGCGTTAAATGCCAACGGTATTGGTAACCATTGTGAAATGTTACAACATATTGGCCTTAGTGAAGGGTGATATTCACGAAAATCTCCTCTGAAATCGAGCTCCCAAGTTTCTCGATTTGATCGTGCAAGCTCCGACAACAATTGATGTAGCTGCTGGCCTTCAACCTTGGTGCCATTTTTGTCTCCAGTAGCTGCTGGAGCAGGTGGCTTGAGGACATAGAGTCCTAAGGTTGATACACCCAATTGAGGTGTCGCCAGGCTTGAGGGGTTGGAGCAGGTGATGTCTTGTAGAAGCGAATTCCTAGCTGCTCCGCCGGCGACATGTTGCGGAGAAGCACGTCGTACGCCATGAGCAATTTTGCTGTAATACTGCGCTCTGGCGTTGTCCATGTCGGCCGTGACTCCCGTCGAAGTAATGAAGTATTTGCACGTTCTGCAACAGCAGTTCCAGCTCGAAGCTCTATGTATAAAAATCTTTGCCGTCGAAGCAGGCACGTCTTTATCTTTTATATGCTCTAAAACCTTGATTGAGGTGAGAGCAATGCTTCCTTGCTGCGACGGGGAGTCTTGGATGTTGCACCATTTGTTTCGCGGGAGAAGGTGTGCGGGGCGATGTCACAGCCATTCGAAGCCGGTTGAGAGGGTTGGGAAGATGTTCCCGCGTCGCCATTCCGTAATGTCTGGATGCCTTGCTCCAGAGTTGTGAGTCGCTGAAGCAGTTGTTCGAGTGTGACGGTACTTATCATAGTCGTCGCCTTGTTTGTCACAGCCGGGTTGGGTTGCACTTCAGCGGTCAGATTTGTTTGACCACCAGATCCTCCGGCCATCCTTACGCGCGAACGTGTGCCGGGCTCCACCTTAATTCGCCGAAGATTTCGGGGGTGGAGTGCGAAGGATTTCTGAGTCCCTAGGATCACCTCACGAAGGTTCGCGGATAGTGTGTTGCAGCGGAAGATTGACCTCAGGTCAGAGTGTATTTAAAATGTCTGAAATGATAAAACATGCAAGTACATAGGTCTATACAAGAGTATAGAGGAATACGAAAGGTCCTGAACTAGCCATGTACTCTAAGAGGTACATTCCCTAATTCGAATTTAAACTCAACCGTGCGACGCAGGACAGTTACGAAACTGTTCCCGCCAAAATCCTCGCTCCTGCAGCTGCCTGATGCTCTCTGCTGCAACAGTCCACATGCTGCCTAACTGTTTGCGACTCTTCTGTTATCTCGACCTTTCGCCTTCGTACTCCTTTCTGCATGCTTCGTTCTTGCTACTTGCAAGAATGAACGGTAGTTTTCTCATTTTACTATTCGTAACACATGGCATGTGGATGACACATCCTCACTATTGTTTGAAAATCAACAGCCGAAGAGGGCGGAGGGGGCCCTGCAGGAGCTCACAACGATATCAAAATTATGAGCGAATGAGTTGAAGACACCCGCGTTATCGTTGGGGAGTAGCCCTTGGGGCCAGCCTTCGGTAAGAACTAAGTATATATGGGTGAGATAGGTGAAAGCCAAACATCTCATAAAGGGTCTCACCGAATTGGGACGCGAACTGGTCGTGAGAAAAGGATCTCAAAAGAACAGCATGGGAATTGGTTAGGTGTCACTTGAGGCGTTAAATGCCAACGGTATTGGTAACCATTGTGAAATGTTACAACATATTGATCGTCTTGTTTCAAGCACAAGTTTAGATGCAACCAAGGGCCTTGTGGAAACTTTGTCTCAAAGAATAAATTTGACGAGGAAAAGCACTCCACTTTGTAGAACCGGGGGCTAATCTGGAGCCAAGGAGGCTTGGGAATTTTCAACTCGAAAGCGTATAGGGGGCTTACTC